CAATAAAATATATTAAAATAAAACTTTATATTTTTATGCTATGTAAAAAATACAACTCTTTATATGGTTATTGCAATCAATGAAAAATCAAAATTTATATGGGAGTGTCGGGCGCAAAAAAAATGGATATATACTATTTTAATKAATACGTCCGGACGTATCTGGTTATTGCACCCAACAGAAATTTAAAAATCAATTTTTATCATTTTATTTCAATACTATTYATCGGACGTATTCGGTTTTTGCACTCATCGATAGCGATTTTTTTYTGAACTTTTCTATAACAAAAAACGATTTTTGAAAAATGWGGACGTATCTGGTTTTTGCACCGAGGCCTTCTAATTGTTATTCACTACATATATACAGTTATAGCAAAACGACTAAACAAATATTTGGTGTATTACTATTTTAGGTTCAAGGTTTATTTAACACGAGAACGTGCATTTATCCTTCATTTTGACCAAGTAGACTTTTCACAGTACGAAAACATTTCTTAAGACTCAAAAATAAATGATTTTTGGAATTTCGCCAAAAGGTAAATGTTTTATTTTGTGTTTATCAGCTAATCGTAAAAAATAATGAGATAATTATATAGATATTAAATAAAATGTATACGAATGCAAACAATATCTCTCACTTGTATGTTTCAATTTTTTTTTTGTGTAACTGAACATTAAAKTTATTTTGAATGGTACAGTTTTTTTCATCCCCTATAATATTTTGATAATATTATATTGATTTTATAAGTTTTGAATTTAAAACAACAAAACACCTACAGATGCCTGTAACAAACACACCGAGTCGACGAAACAGGAATAGAATATGAATGTGTTCAGTTTAATACATTTGTTTTCGTGTTTATTATGCTTCAAAGTTTTTATAATAGTGAAAAAAATTTAACAGAAACACGATTTACAATTAAATAAAAGCTACTAAAATTATTGCCAGAGAGGGAAACTTTTTGTTTATCTTAAGCAAATACTATTTTAAGATTAATAATGCACTATTGTATCAATTTATTAAACACGATATATGATTATAATTGCTTAACAATTACTAATCATCGTAARCTGTTTATTAATAATCAATGCTATCATACCATTCAAAAATTTCCGAGTTTCTGCGCTGTATTCGGATGGTCTAGAAGCATTGAAGATTCCACCTTGATTGCAGATTTTTGTCCGATGCGCCATTTAAATTTTTCTCTACAACAACAACAACAAATAATCTTAAACTAAATTATTGTAAAATGAAGAATGCGTATATAAACACCTCAAAAATATTATATCAATGAAACAGCTAGACGAGCTTACGGAATGTGTTTTACCATGGTAACAGACGAATCGACGCGGTAGGTAGGTACGCATTTAATGATACGAAAAATATAAAATATTACTCACGGACTTATCCAGTCCCTCCAGTAACTATCCACTTTAAAACATTTTATTTCGAGTTTAATGGGATTATTTGTATCATATACATCAGTGTTTCTCAAATTGGGGGCCATGAAATATTTGGAAATATTAATTATTATATTTTTACTATTTAAGAGCATAATTGTATATAATATGAAGAAGATACCAAAATAATTTTTKACTTTCAAAATTAAAYGGTTGTTTATTTGATAATAATGAACTTATTACTRCATTAAAAAAGTTTATATCACTTTAAAATTTATTGACTATATAGGTATTAACATATATTTATAGAAAAAATAATTTTAACGATTTTAATAGTTAAAAAAATTCTACACCACCATAGACTCACCTATGCTTGATAAATTTATTGTTCTCAACTATTTTTTTTTCTACAAAGACTTTCATTTTGAGGTTGGCATCAGATTTTTGGACAGATAAATAATTCTAGAACTTGGGGAGGGCACCTTTATTTTTTTATATTTAATTTAAGGGGCTCCATGACGAAAAAAAGCTTGAAAAGCATACGTCATGATGAACTACAATATACTATTTTATACAATATTACAAACATTATTATAGCACAAAGTGTGTAAGAAATAAMAAAGAAGAAAAATKCATAGACTTTAACGATACAAAACTAACTTAATAATAATATAACGTATTAAGGGAAKTAATGTTATTATATTATTTACTTCCATCAGTTTACAAAATAAGTACGTCTAAAATATAATTAACTGTAATAAAAAGTATTTTAAGATAATTATTTTAGATTAGGTTAGGTTAAACCTTAACCTTTCTAAAGTAGTAGTTTTTCTATTGAATTAAAGGAAAATATTTAATTTCCAAACAAAGTACATAATTATTTTTTATTTACGTAATATACATATTTAAAGTCAGTTATCAAAAATATTATGGGAGCAAGTCTTRCGAAAGTTACGCAACCTTATGCGGTGGTTACGAAAAACTATTTATAAAAAATACAATTATGTATTTAAAATTTACATAAATGCACAATGAAAATYATTTGGGATAGGTAACAAAATATTATCAAGTTGGAATGTAAAACACAAAACATATTTCATTACGAGAAAAAAATCCTAACTTATAAATAATAACATCTGAGCTATCTAGTGGTAAAATATCAAACTATTAGGTTTGAGTACACTTCGAATATTTAGCAAATAGAAAGGGCTGGATGTTAWGCGATGAGAAAATCGGCTTTTACTGAAACAATAATATTTAACACAATATAATAAAACCCTATTGTACAATATATTATTGGCACCAATCGTGGTCAACAATTCTCACCACACTTAATGAGATACAATCAACCATTCCCCCATGGCCAACTTCACACTATCCAGATGACAAGAAGTTATTATAAATTGACTCCGAAACACATGGCTGACCCACAAACATATYTTGACCAGAATGGAACCTGAATAATACCCTACATGTGGAAAAATAATACTCTCAGTCAAGCACATAATTTGCCACTGCCGAATCTACATGGATATCCTATCCAATCTCCAAATTTCTGACAACCTCCATGAAGCACTTGGTCCTGATCTARCTGACACGAAAAAAAATTTTGAAATATTTAAAAACTACCAATTTATATAATCTTATATGATATTGTACAAATTCAAAAAACATATTAGCCCTTTTTATCATAGCCAATAATCTATGTTGTTGCGGTTTATCTCAAAAAAAAAAAAAATGTTATATTCAATGAAAAATATGAATAAATATTTTGTAACACGAATAACGTTTTCATTTCATTACCAAGCCCCGATTCAAAGCAGGTTTAAAAATAAATATTCAACTAGATGAATAGTTTTTTCAATATGGGTGATGCGTGTACACATTATTAGGAAGTCGCAAGCTCGCAAGTAGACATGATGGAGAAAAATTTTGTATTTATTTAATTATGTATTTTAATTTTAAAACGCGCGGAATAGATGAATAGTGACTGGCTATCGGTTACCTGCCTATCGATAAATATTACGCGTGTTTAGCAGATAATCACTCATAATCTTCATCGGAGCTCTTATTCGTCTTATGTCGTCCCGATGTCTGTAAATTTATAATTTATAAGATGATTAGGAGCGAGATTTTTGAAAATCTAAAAAGTATCGTAGAATAAAAGTGGCTAGAAACCGCTAAACTAGACGGATTTAAATTAGCCCTACCAACTTAATTTTAAATGGATATTCTATGAGCCGATGAGCAACTTCCTAAACAATCTTAGAGATATCCGAATGTAGACCGACATATCTCAACCGTGAATAATATTCCGAGAACCGACGAGGCTCTTACGAGGGTTACGGGAATTTGATATCATGTTCTGGAAATAGATCTATCCGGTGTTAGTCAGCAGTTTTTAAACTATTCAAACATATCGAAATTCAACATTGCATTTCGTCAAAAAAATATTATCATCAGTGGAATTGTGATCAAGTTAAAAATAAAAACTGTTCATTGGGTCACCGGCTGGCAATAATGTAGTAGGTACACATGAATACAATAAATTATTGGTTCAAACATTGTTAGATCAATTTAATATTTAACCGAAATAATGCGATAAAATTAAATATTTATTTCAATTACCTTGAATCAAAACTTAAATAAATGGTACATCGCAGTCGATCCCATAAATAATGTTTTCGTTTATTGAGATGAAGTGGCAATAATTGTAGTGTAACGATTGCTACATCATAACTTATATTATTATATTAACATWACATGTACAATAGATACATATATATTATAAACTTAACATATAAATATTGTGCTGAGGCTATATTGAGCCCCTCCTGTCTTGTCACACATATATTATTGTAAGGCTACGGCCAGATATGGATATGTAAGGAAAAGGTAGTTCTCTGCGATTACCATCACACGCACCTGAACTCTGAGACAGCTCCACATTTTGCTCGAAAGTAAACTTTTATGTATCAACAATTATTTAGATCAGTTTTCACTTATTTGTGATATTTAAATCCTGAATAACCTCCATCCTCCCGAGCAATGGTTAAAATATATTCAAAAGAAACTAACTTCTTCTCTGAATATCTTATATTCAACTGGTCATCCCTGACAGTAGTCACTGATGATACTATAGTTTCGTAATATTGATCGCACTCACAAAACAAACAAGTTCACATCATAAAAACTAAAAAGTATCATATTTAAACCGAATCATATTATTTTCTCTGCGGGATCCAAGAGATTATCTTAACCTTAAGTCGACCATGGGCGTGAAAAGTTTCAGACACGTACCTTCCTTCAAACTTTTGGGTATACGTTATATTTAACTGCGATAGGTTATTACTACTGCCACTCATTAGATGATGTCTAAGGTAGGTTGTTATAGCGTTTGAAATTTAAGAACTCGTATTTATAAGTTACATTTTAGGTTTACGAAAAGAGAATAATTTAATATGTCTTCGGCAAATTTTCTTTTCACTTCACATTTTGAACATGCAAACAATTATTGTAAAATTTAAGAGCTTTTCATCCCATCTCGTTCGTGTAAAATCGAAATCTCTGAAATGTTTACGTTAATGCTTCGAATAAGACAGAGTATAATTATTAATAATTAATACAATTCGTTATTGTGATTATAGGATGAATATTGCATCGTATGAACGTATAAATACACATCACAACCGTAATTATTTAGTGATACCTATACCTACCACCTACATATATTTTACAGGTAAACAAATGAAAAATTGTTTCAATCGATCTAAATACCATACAGTACAAGTGCCATACCATATTAAACAGCTATTATTAATGCGTTGTGTACCTGTGTATTGTAGAATTTGTATAATTAACTGAGTAGGTATGACTTAACCGTTTAAATCAATGCTCGTGACCGTATATTGTAATTTAGTTGAACGGACACGCCCTGCTAGACTACACCAGGCGTCAACGGGTCTAATTATGTGTTTGTTAATCTATTCTGAACTAAACAGCAGGAAACATACGGTTTTCATAAATATTTCACAACAAAACGAATTTAATTGATATATCAAGTGACATGAAAAAAAAATGGGTTAAAGCAGGGGTAGGAAATTATAGCTTTTTAAAGGGTTCCGATGATTTGAAAACAACATTTTGAGGGTCCAGAAAACCTTTTTATTTTTTGCGGAGTAAGTTATTTCGAGTCTCGACGGAGACAAAAAATCAGCATAAAAAGTAAAACGTTTTTGGTTGTCCATTTATTTTCTCGTGTATTATATCGACAGTTGGCCCAAAGTCTAAACACTTTTCATAAAAGATCGAAAATTTAGATTAAACATCAATATTGTTTTAAACATAAATAAAATAAGGAAAACAATTAATTATGATGTATTGACGTGATAATGAATACACTATTGGTCTGATCATAACACTGACTGATTCGTCCATTACGTTTGTAATAAATATATTAAGTATACGACAGTAGGAGAACGGTGCAAGTGTACGTTTTTTTTTTTTTAAATTGGGGCATTTATTGTATGTGTATTAATTACAATTTATTTTAAGTATTATGTAAAGTCGAAAACAATTTTATTTAAAAAAATGTATCAACTTCATTGTTTTGATATTGATAAGTACTTTTAAATGTAAAGAATTGTCTATACATTGTAAAAATGGAATAAATATAATATTATCGTCATGAAGTATATTCTGAGACACTTATCTTATTGGTATTGATAATAGTCTAATTTTTGTCAACTTTTAAGATACGCGCTGTTTATTAAGGTCGAATGACAGTACGGTTTTTTTATTCCCAACAC